TCCAAATGCCGCCCACAAATCCCATAATCTAAGTGTATATGCATCAAAGGTAACATCGAGTCTACAGAATTCTTAGCCAATCACGTATAAGTAGTAGTCATCAACAGTCATGACAAAAAAAAAAAAAGTTGGATGATTTATTCCAATTTAGCTGAGATTTATAAAAATATATTTGGTCATGATTTATTACGAACTGCTTTCAGTCAGAAAACCGTTGAAAACCACAGGGAGACCACTCGACAGCTGTTTCATCCTTTTTTGGAGCTCTTCATCTGTATTCATGTATGATCGAACCCAGGACCTCTAGATGGTAACACATTGACTGGTAAGCAGCCGAGCTGTGATATCCCGAGTTACTGGAAGCTAGAATTCATGGGCCATTGGCTGATGGACTACGAGCTTGCCATTTAAACGGAAGGTTCTGGGTTCGAACCCTAGCAGTGGGTACGTACTGATGATGAATCCCAAGCTAGGAGGAGGAAACAGCTGTGTAGTACTCCAGTGCTGGTTTTCACTAGTTCTCTAATTGATATCAATCTGTGGTCAAACTGAAAAAACAAATTAAATCCTTACAAACGAAATCTAGAAAGTCCTTACACGCCAAAATTCTACTTTTCACTCAGCGTCCAGTTTTTATCGATCAACACTTGATCAGAGAGTTTGTAGAAAAAAGTGAAAATATTTTTTTCTTTCTCTTAAAATTTCATATATAATCAAATACGTCACATTCATATATTACTCTCTCAGTAGGTTTTTCTGATAGAACAACTGTGAAGAGACCAATGTGTTGGGTTGGGTTGCGTTGTGTTACTCGTTAAAAACATGGACATATACACACAAACACGCACGCACGAGTACACACACACACACACGGGGGCAAAACTTTTGTTGTGTATAATAAATTAGGGAGGGTGGAACTTACGCAGGAATAGACGGTGGTACTAATGGTGGATAATTGGTCATGGAGTTTAACAGCCCAGCAGATGTGGCGGAGTCATTTGTTGCTATAGCATACATGTCGGCTGGATATAATCGTCTGCAGTAATGCAGCATGTACATATGGTGGTGATGAATAGTATAAAAGATAGCAGATTTGTGCATAAAATTTCGATGATAGGATGGCGGCAGTAGCAGTAGGAGGTGGGGCAGTGATCGTAGTACACAGATGTGCATTGGACGACGACAACAAGAAGGACAACAACAACATGGAAACGTGCAAAATGAACAAAAAAGGCTATTTAATTTATACAATTACATAACAGCACATACAGAATGAAGAAAAGTTGAACAACAATTATAACTAAATGCAATTAATCAACACGACAACAAAGTGTGAAACAGTGCATAAATATGAACTTATTGAATTTACAACAAAAAATTATGTGGTGACAATAGTGCAACATTGGAAAATAATCACAAATACTGATATACACACACATACATACACCTACAATATACATAATCAGGTGTGCAAGAAGCTGGAATTGCATCATAACCCATATTTGATGTAATATAAGAGAACGGATACAGAGGGCTAGTTTCGCATATACCAGTTTACGCTGTCACTGACGTAGACGTGATATCCGGCTGGTTATCGACCAAACGGCAGGTGTACTGCTCATCAGTCCGCTCCGTCCTCCTTTATGGCCTTGAGTGAGACCCGGCCATTGAGAGTGGAATACATGAAAAGGCCGGTTAGATATCTTTGATCACAGGTGCCTAGGCTCTATCTCCCATGTGAAGTGGTATAATAAGGTGAGCAATATTGAGCTTAGGCATCGGTCAAGTGCTAGGTAAGGAGGGGAAATCAATCGACGAGGCTGTGAAGCTACATCGACTGAGATGGTTAGGACATGTGTTACGTATGCCAAGCCATCGCCTTCCTCGACGGGAAATGTTAGCTACACAGAACAGATCAGTTTCGAAAAAAGCTAGCGGAGGTCCAACAAAAACATGGCACCAGTCAATGAAATCTACAACAGTTAGTCTAAGCCACGTAGGAAGGTGTAGACTTCCACACTAGTTGGGGTCCTCGGGATGGTAAAACCAGTGGTTGGAAAGAATTGGTGACACGGCTCAAAATCGTTCTCAATGGCTGGCGCAGATGCATCCAAAGAAACTATATTGTTTTTCGTTATTAACTATACCTTTGTCTCATACCTCTGTTTACTATCCCTATTATGCAATTCTACTTTCTTCTCTTGCTTTGTGTGCTACATGGAGTGTGACGACTTGAACTGGTGCACATCCGTGCAAAGTTCTATGTCGAAAACAGACAGACAGAAGAGAACACATAAATGTAGATCCATGACTCTTCGCATGTCTTCCATTGAGCTTCACAAAGTTGACTGGAGTGATGTGAGATTAGTTTTAATCGCCAGTTCGTCCGAGGAGCAAGTCAGAAATCAGCTAGTCTGAACTGATTCGGTTCTCTGAGCTGAGCTGAGTTAAACTGGGTACATCGATGATGAGCGCGGACCCAAACGAACGAAACGATCATTCGATGTTTACATTACTTTGATTTGACTAGATACCAAACCCTATTGGCTGGTATGAGTACTAACCAACTACTCATCGAAATCGACCAGTAGTATATGGTTTTATGCACTTATATTCAATCTTCTGCTTTCGAAATACTTCTTTCTCCTCATGCTTACTTTACTAGCACACTTATGTATATTCTATGCCTTCACAGTTATCTCTTTTCTGTCTTAATTGAAGATTTGACCAAATCGTGTTAATGCTTATTACAAAAACTGTCTTCTTACTGATCAAAAGACTATTTATCAACAAACATGGAAGATGGAATATATAAACATCTATAACTCACTGAGGAATGAGTGGTGAAGGTAATTGTGGTGCACCTGCTTTCCCAGGAACTGAAGGTGCTTGTCTAGGAGCAGAACCTTTCACTGAACCAGTATTAGTTGAATTCCAACCACCTGGTGGTGGAGGTGGTGGACGACGATTACCTGTTGGACTTGGAGGAGGTGGACCTGTTGATCCAGGAGCAGTTAATCCACCTGAACTATCACCCTATATATATATGATTATAATAAAATTGAAAAGAAAAAGTTAGAAAATAAATATTCACATGTAGATGACCAAATATTTCATTTTTTTTTAAATTTGGTTTTATTAAGTTATCAAGAGGCATTAATGTAGATTTCGAAACCAAAAGTGGGAAGGTAAGACTATCCTTCGTCAATCTGAAATCAGTGTTGAAACCAGCCCAACTCAGAGCAAAGGAAAAAATTCGGATTTTCAACACCAATGTTAAGTCAGTCACTTCTTCGACATAGGTCAGATACTTGGTACGCCACGAAAAGCATTTCCAACAGCCTGCTGCAGGCTTTCATCAACAGCTGTCTGCACTCCAATATAGTGAAGATTAGATGATGAGTCTGAAAGAATTGTCAACAAGAAACTATGGGAAAAAACCTACCAAGAACCTAATGCTCAGCAAATATGCAGAAGAAAATGCAGACAGGTCGGACACAATCACTGAGGAGAACACGAATGACATCGCATGCTAAGCATAATCTCAAGTGGAACCCAAATAGGAAATGACGAGTGGGGCGGAAGCTTCGAAGGTGACATGGAGGATATATTGTGAGAGAAAGAGATAAGAGACTATGGGGAATAATGGAGTCAGTTGAAGAGAACTACAGAGGACAGGATAAAATGGAGATGTGGTGTTGAAGATCCATGCTCCACTCTTAACCCAAAGGAACAATAATATGTTTTCATCTAAACAATTCATTTTATTTTACACACAAGAAGTGAATAGGTAGAGTGGATTCGAAGCCAAGTCAACAAGGTTCCTTCATATCCTATATACATATATACACACACACAAACACACCCGCATGTATATCGCTTGAAATAAATGGTCAATACACCGGAGCATAACAATGCATACGAATGCAACAGAATTTGGGGTTAACAGTGTTTTAAATGACCTGAACATAAGTCATCCTGAATGACTTGACTATTCATCTTATCTAATTAAAACTTATATCACATAATAATAATATTAATAAAACAACGGAAATAAGAGAATCAATGAGATAGAAATATTACATCAAAAGACAGTAAGTAAAACACAGAAACAACTAAAAATCAAATACATAAATGAAATATATACTAGCTAGATTGAGGTAATCACAGTAGGAAGCCATAAACTTAGGATTCATGCTTATTAATTACGTATCAGCAAAGTATGTCTACAACCTCGAAGGAACTGATACCCACTCGGAGAAGTTTACCAGCTCAACTTGCCATACTCCATGTACCAAACACACACGTAGAGAAAGGAAAGATTCACAAACAGTGAATGCAACTCTTCCATTAATAACGATATTGAGCCATAACAGCAACAGTGTTAGCATCCCGAGGACCTCAACCAGGAAGTCGACATTAACCTAAGTGGCTCAAAGAAACTACCAGATTTTGGCTTGACCGCGTAAAACTTTTTTCTAACTTAATCCTGTATCAGCTAACACTACACACGTGGAGAAAGGCAATGGCTAGACACGCGCAACACGTGTCCTAAACATTCAAATCGATGTCACTTCATAACTCATGTCAATCAGTGTTGCAGTCAGTAACGTTACCAACTAGTTATCCTAACTCAGTACTGACGTGTAATTGAAAGTTAACAATCTATTCTTTTGCGTTCCTAGCAGTAAATAGGGCTTCAAGCATAAACTTTTAAGTTAGTGTGGTGAGAGCAGGCTGCTAGCCGATTGGTTGGCACTAATCTACGTTAAGGTCTAGGTCACTAATATGGGCCGTGAACAAGGCTGAGTCAACAACCAATCACAGCGAAGTTAACGTGGCAAATATGATTCGCAGAGAGAACTCTGTTTGTCAAGGAATCCCGAAACAACCAATCAGAAGCCTGCGTTTGTCTACCTAAACAACCAATCAGATGACTGCGCTTGTCTATAATAATGTTGTTGAAATATGTATAAATACGTGTTGATTTTCATAATAAAACGATCTGTTGCCTGGCCCTTGTCTTCTGTTGTTACATTTGGTGTCGCTGCCTACCGACAAATGAAAAGCCTATACCCTGCAGTTTTTGATGGAGACATATGGATCTTCGGGCAGGACTTCAAGGCTTCTGCGCAGTTGAGTGGCGTTCAAGATCTGTCAGCGATGGAGCTGCTACTTGAGACGCTGCTGGGAGGTCGGGCGAAAGCAGCATATGAAGGTGTGGGCCGAAGTATGGACGAATGTTCGACAGGGTCAGGCAAACAGTTTCCAAAGTGGGAAGGACCATATATGGTCACTTCGAGATGGGGTTACGCAGACACAGTCGCAATGGCGAACAATGAGAGGCGCGTGAACGTCAGCGAGCTCCAGAAATGGATACAGCGAGACAAGCCAACGATGACGCCTGCACCAAGTAGATCAAGCCGACTTCAGTCGCACGTATTTGACGGGGGGACGAGTGTGGTGAGAGCAGGCTGCTAGCCGATTGGTTGGCACTAATCTACGTTAAGGTCTAGGTCACTAATATGGGCCGTGAACAAGGCTGAGTCAACAACCAATCACAGCGAAGTTAACGTGGCAAATATGATTCGCAGATAGAGAACTCTGTTTGTCAAGGAATCCCGAAACAACCAATCAGAAGCCTGCGTTTGTCTACCTAAACAACCAATCAGATGACTGCGCTTGTCTATAATAATGTTGTCTGAAATATGTATAAATACGTGTTGATTTTCATAATAAAACGATCTGTTGCCTGGCCCTTGTCTTCTGTTGTTACACCAGAGCGGTGATAGTTTTATGGGGTAAGTTTGCTAGCCTCACACCCAACATTTCCTGTTTATCTGGCTTACGACCGGATACGAGAGACAGAGGAGTGTGTCCATCAGGACTCGAAACCCGGCCCACAGGCATGGTTGGATAAAATCCTACGCACTCTACGATTACCATATGAGTTGTAATAACTTACATCTCGATACATTATGAGTACCAAGACATTCACCACACAAAAACTCAGTTTGTGCGACGGCTGGGATACTCCTCGAATGAAGTTAAATACAAAAGACAAGAATTCTATGCTTACTTGTAACCATTCATCGTTGACTGGTGGTGGAATTGGTGTGGACACAGTAGACATTGACACTTCACTGATAATATTCAATGCCTCTTTCATAGCATCATAAACACGAACCATTTCATCACGTTTTTGTTGAACAACTAATGATTCCGACATGAGTGTATTCTACAAATAAATAAATAAATAATATTCAAAAGTTATTTAGCAGATTTCAATTATTTAAAGATTAGTCATGATGAACTGACTTAACAGTTAGAAAATCATTGGAAGCCAGAGTGTACTGGATAGCTGTTTTCAACCTTGTTCCGGACTCTTCATCAGGTTACAAGTCGAGCTCGTTGATCATTCAGCCACTGGGACGAAATCCAACGGCCCATCGATTCCAACTTCCACTAATTCGCGATATTGAGCACGACTGCCAGCCGATGTAATCATCAGAAGGTCCTCGATGCGATCACTGGCGGAGTTATGCCTGAATCCTGAGCAAGCTTGAAACAGCTGTCCAGTACTCCTTGGTGTTCAATGGTTCTCTAAGTGAAGTCAAATCTTGACCAACCTTGAAATTATCAAGTGTTGGTGGTGTGCAGGGATTTGATTACACGGTTACAGGAGTGATCACGAGCTGAAATCAGCTAGAGAACCAATGAGAAAAAGTCAAGGAGTACTGCACAGTTGTTTCGTCCTAGCTTACGCTTCTTCATTAGTACTCATCCACCAGGCTTCTAGCCCAGGACCCCCCCCCCAGGTTACGAGACCATCAAGCCATCGCAACCCGACCCAGAAGTCCATAAATCCTAACTCCCGGCAATTCGTGATATATATTTAGCCCAACCAACAGCCAATGTGACTGGTGAATAACTGATCTTTAGCCTGACTTCGTGTACCCTGGTGATTACGAATTCTCACTAGAGTTCCGGGTACTTCCTCTATAGGAACAGTCACTAGTGAGTATCAGATAAATTGTCAAGTGTTTGTGGTTTACAGGGATTTGATTACAGGAGTAATGACGAGCTGAGATCAGTTAAAGAACCAATGGGAAACCACAGAGTACTTACTACACAGCTGTTTCGTCTCAGTACGCGCCTACAACCAGGTTTTGAACCCAGGACCTTTGGGTTACGAGGCGAGCTCAGCCATTGGGACCCAACCCAATAGTCCAAGAATCCCAATCGATGCCACTTCGTGATATATATTTAGCGCAACCGCCAGTCAGTGGTCATAGACAAGTAAATGTCCTCCTCTTGCCTGACTTGGTGAAACTCGATGGTTACAACTTCCTAGTAGAAATCTCTAGAAATCAATCAATCAAACAAATTTTCAGCTGTAAACAACCAACTACATTATCCCAGGGAACAAGGAACTTTCTAATAGAAATATTAGATGAACAATTTAATTTGTCAGTTTCTATTTTCACCGAAAGGCTTAATTCATAAAAAGAAGAAAACTGGAGGATAAATTAACTTTTTTTAAACATAAAACTTAAAAACACAATCACCACATCAGCCTATGAAGAAAAAAAAAGCGGATACATTATAATAAATGGAAAATGTCTAAAGCAACAAGGGAGACAATAAGACGGAAAAAAAGAGAAGATGAGGGTATTTATGCCTGATAGGCATTTATTTTATTTTTTTTGTCGTTCATCTTACCAAATCTCCTGCTTGATATAAATTTGGCAATAATTCACCTTTCAGAAATCCTTTAATCTAAATGAAAAAATTGCAACAAAACAAAAAAAACAAAGTTGAAAAGACAAGAATTTTTGCTAAATATGTATCAATGTAAAAGTCATCATACTGCAATGCAACAAAATATATGTAGAGGCAGCGAAAACAGGACTGCAGGTGAACACAGAGAAGATAGAGGTGATGAAGATACCCACCAACCACCACCAACTGCGACAACAAACAGCACCATTCACCATCACAGGGAGAGATTTAACAGAGGTCGCCTCCTTCACTTATCCATCCGGCTAGGAAGCAAGGTTTTAACCACTGGTGGAACGGAAGAAGATGTCCAAGTCAGTCAGAATCGGAAAGACAAGATACGCCTTCAGCAATCTGAAACCAGTTTGGAAATCTTCTTCTTTACCCAGCCAACATAAGGAACAAGATTCGGATTTTGAACACCAACGTCAAGTCGGTCCTTCTATATGGGTGAGAAACTTTGCGAGTGCGTCACCACAAGGATTTCCAACAGGTCGCCGACTTTCATCAACATCTGCTTTCGCACCATACTGAAGATCAAATGGCCAACCGGCCAGAAGGAATTAGCAACAAGAAACTCTGGTGATGAACAAACCAACAACCAAGAGTCGATCGCTCAACAAATATTTAGGAGAAAGTGGAGATGGATTGGGCATACATTGACGAGGCCGTCGAATGACATCGCACGCCAGGCTCTCGAGTGAAATCCAAATGGGAAGCGACGAATGGGTCGTCAATGCGAAGGTAACATGGAGGAATCGTGTGAAGAAGAAATGAGAAAGTTTGGTCAATCGTGAACCCGGCTGAAGAGGGTGGCAGAAAACAGAACAAAGTGGAGATGTGTTGTTGAAGCCATATGTTCCACTCGGAACCCAAGGGAATAATAATATAATATAATTACAGGCTGAAGACTTTCATCAACAGCTATTGCCCCCATTCGCTGGCTCCTTACTGAAGATCAGATGCCCAGAGGGGATTACCAACAAACAACTCTTCAATGAAACGAACCCAACAAATGTTCTGAAGGAAATGGAAATGCATCAGACACACAATGAGGAGACCGATAATTGACACCGCACGCCAGGCTCTCGAGTTGAGCCCAAATGATAAAACGGCGAAGCCCTGTTTTCCATTCGAAACCCAAAGGAATAATAATCCATGAAATACAAGGGAGAAATACTATGTCATACAGTAACTGAATCTCTGGGAAGATACCATTAGGAATCATTGAAAACAACGAAACGCTGGACACCCGTTTTACCCTAGTTTGAGACTCTTCAGTACAGCACCCAACAGACATCAAATCTAGAACGTTTAGGTCAAGATCAGAGAATTTTAATTTTGATTAAAGACTAAATTTACACAGAAAGCAATCAAGTCGTTACAAAGCCAACATTCTATTCAAAACAAAAACGCCAAATGACATGAATAAAGCATTCACACATAACTTTGAAGGCTACACAATCAAAACTGTTAAACTCCTGTGTCGTGCACACGACTGTATTGTTGGGATTCAGAAATCCATAACAGATTTCTCATTCATGTAACAGGCTACGAACAGCACGTACTGTGTGAGGCCTGACCATACCGTTTAGTCGCACAGATTGGGCGGGATTCAAACCAAGGGCCAAGTGGTTGGAAATTGGGTGCTTAAACCGAAGACCCGAATCTCAACGAATTGGAACTCTGACAGTTGACAGTATTTCCAGTCTGAAAAGCAGAGTCCAGGTTATGCAGGCACACTGATTGAGACAGTTAGGACACGTGCTGCGCATGCTGAGCCACCATCTTCCTCAACAAAAGATTAAGTTGGAAAAGAGTTAGAGGTGGTTGAACGAAAACCTATCATCGATCCATGCAGACTTTGATAGTTGATTTGAACCACACACACACGTAGGGAGGTGTAGACTGACTGTCAAGTGAGGGTCATTGAGATGCTAAGAAGCAAAGGCTAGAGACGGTTAGCGATATGACTCAACAGTGAAGATATGTTCACTCTTTGTGGTATTCTATACCCAATAAACCCTCATGTTTCTCTATGTTATAATTTTCTATCGCTCACATTTCTGCTTAGTATAGTTCTTTTACATCTCCTTTTCTCTATCTCCTTAGTCCACCTTTGTGAGCTACATGGAGTGTGATAAATCCAGCTGGTTCACTCCTGTGCAAACTTCTACGTTGAAACCAATCAGTCAGCCGACTAATCAGCTACAAAATGAAACAACATAGAATACAATAGAGAACCAAATTTCTGTACAAACTCTTACGTTGAATAGCCTACACATGGAATGATAAGGTCAGCCATTTTTGTAGACAGATACATAGAAATACAGAACTGTTAATTTGCACTATTAAAACTTAACTGACAGGATTCAGCTGAACACTAAGAAATAAACAAGTCAAAATAGTTCCACCCTAGACACCAAACAAGGTAACCATCACAGTCCTATAGGAGGTGAATCAATCGTGAGCCTCACACCTCTTCATGCAGCACTAGGTCACATGACTTCCAAACTCAGACAGGATATCAGTTCCTTCAAGACCGACTGACTTAGTTCTCAGTGTGGAACTCCACACAAAAATGTAGTAGTTCAAGGTATCACACTCGACAATGCACACAAAAGTAGAAGAACTATAATGAACGGAATTGTACGCAGAAAATAATAAGTATATGAAGGATAATTATCCTCTGAAGGAAATTAGAATTCACTAAAAGTAAGTGCATCTACAACATTTG